AATGATGCACCTAACTTCTGCCTAGTGAAAATTTTGTTATTTATACAGATGACCAACCCCTTCTGCTGCCCCACTCCTTCAGGTTTCCAAGCTGCTACACATAAAAGGATCCATCCGTGGCTGGCTGATAACACGGGCTTGGTTTTACCTCACAGAATTTAATTACCACCTGACTGTATTATTTATAACATCGTATTAATGAGAATACCCAATTCTAGGCCCACTGAGTTACCATCAGTATCAAAAAAAGCCAGGAATAGCTCTGAGAAGCCTAAGTGTCAAACAGTAAGGAACGGCTTACGGCAAGGAGCTGGGTAAACGGGTAAGTTGGGAGGCAGAGCTACAAAACGAGAAGAGTTTAGCAGAAAAACTTTGTAGAATGCAGCAATTTTGCAAAGTACAGAAAGAGAAGTTACAGAGACTGTGAGAAATTACCAAGAGGGAACCGCATGTGAGTTGCGAATAGGCACAACATTTTCCATCAGAAATACAAAATGTCAACCTTTTAACAGGTTTCTTTATTCCCAGGTCCAAAATACACATCTGGGACTATACAGCTGTGACAATGGGTGGGTGACACCTAGCTGGAAGATATTTTCCACTGGAAAAAAAGGGTTCTTCCTTGCAATACTATGTGGGAAGACATATCTTCTGCTAAAGAGAAGCCAGGCGTCTCCCCTACACTGAAATCGAAACAGGTTTTTTGCCATAACTGTATGTGCCTATGCTCCCCTGGAAAATTTTAATAGATAAATAAGCAATTTTATTCCTTTACAGAGGCACCGCTCTAAAACCTGGCCACCAGGAAAGGATGTCGGTATGAGGACCAACCAGGAAACAGCAGTGAGCCTCTGCCACCTGAGCTGCAGATGAAAGAGAGAGAAATTTGGGGGGAGCTTGTAACACAGGATACAGAGCAACCATTGGCTAAGAATAAGTGCAGGGTTTTTTTTTTTCCCCCTCTCCTGGAAAATGGTAAGTTGTATATTTTGGCCCACTGCATAAACACTTAATGTTTGAGGCCCTAAGTAGAGAAGTATGGGAAAGCGTCTCCTTCCAAAAGGGGGAAAACAGTGGTTTCTACCAGAGGTGAAAACACTTAATGTTTGAGGCCCTAAGTAGGGAAGTATGGGAAAACGTCTCCTTCCAAAAGGGGGAAAACAGCGGTTTCAAGCTGGCTTTAGCCTTGGTTAGCTTCAGACATTTTTTGAATGCTCAAACAACATGCAAGGTAATGACCTTGCATGTGGCATGTAGGGGAATGCAAGTGTTCTTTTAAAGACACCGTGTGTCACAGAAAGTCATAGGGCTTCCTTAAGCAGCAGATCTGAACAGAGCTTTAAAAACTCTGTTTGGGTTCACCTGTCAATTTTAAATAGCATTTCATAAAATGCTTTCATATCACCTGTCAATTTTAAATAGCATTTCAGAAAATGCTTCTGTATTTTTTTTTCAAAATATCTCCTTTGAAGAAGCACTAGTAAACAGATTTATTCATGTACGCAGTTTTCTACTGAATTGAGACTAACTGATTTAACAAACTCAACATTTACAAGGATTCATGTTCCCCACTGGACAGAGGTCTGGATTAACAATAAGCACAATAGCTTAAGAAATGTGTCCAGAATAACACTCCTCAGAACTAAAGGAAAGTTCTTTAAACTCCTTATAAGACAGAAATTAAACACTGTCCTGCACATGCTGACCCTTTGGGTAATCAAAAAACAACATGTATGGGCTATTATGAAAGAGGTTCCCCTCTTTGCAGCCCTGTCAAAAATCCAAGGTTTGAAAATGTCTCATTACACAAGGTATAGGTACAAGACTTTGAAGATCAATTAATTACCCCAGGAATCTGGGTCTAGAAGCGCCATTTTACACAAATCAGTGTTTGAATATCACAGGGATAGACTCACAGTTTATAAACTGAAGAACTAGATAAGCAAGATCTATGCAAAACATGTCACTGAGAAACCAACTAGTGTTACTGCAAGGACTGATAGGTTTTTGTTCTGTAAATCACTTGTTTTACTGCAGTTGCTGTGGGCAACAGAAGAGCCTCTCCAGCTCTGCTGGCCCACCAGAGGTGCCAGGAGAGGAGGTCCTATAGCCTGTGACCAGCCTCAAAGCATGATCAGGGAGAGCAAGGTGTGCAGAGGAACCAGCAAGAGCTGGACCACATCTCACAGCTTTCTCAAGGGGGCTCGGAGAGATGAGCAGGAGATGAATGACCATGAGCAATGAAATGTCCAGAGCGAAAATGGGGCAAGCCTTGCTGATCTGCCTCACGCGGATCCTAGAGGTCAGTGAAGAGCCACCCTCAAGGAGAAGGAGGTACTGGTGGAGGTGTGAAGGGAAGAGGCTCAGCTCCTCTGGCTGCCAGGACTGCACACGGGCACCGTCACTGTTTAGGCTTTGTTCTACTCACCCCCACAATCTTACACGTGCTTAAAGCACAAGAAACATGATGGCTAAGTAAAATACTAAAATAAACAGCCGGAGAAGCAAAGTCAGGCAAAATCTGACCATGCTTAGGCTGGAAAGCTTGTTGTGTGTGTATAAACATGGCTGTGGTCTAGCATGTGAATAAACAAGCTTTTATCTGAAGTGAAATAACCAGACATTTAACGTCACTTCCATTCACATGGACTCCTAGACAGCGTAATCTTAGATCTGCAAATAATGAATTAACTACCGCTCTCATTCTATTGCATGTGCAATAGCCTTATTCTGATTCAGAGTAGGATTTAGGCCTGGAATTCCCGAGTGATTTAATCCGCATTAAAAAATGTTGGAGGATTACAGAATGCAAAACATTTGAACGTATTTTGGTATTTTCCCGCAACTGCACGTGGCCGTTTCCTCAGCATGCGTTTAACGCCGGGGCGCTCGGGGAGCCGCCTGCTCCAGCGCAGCGCGCGGCGCCAAGCCGACCACCCAAGCAGCACACACGTGGCGCTCGCCTCGAGACGCAGGCACTGCCAGGGGCTGCTCCCATGCGCCGGCGTTGGTTCCAGCTCCTGCTCTGCCCTCTGTGAACGATTTCCCTCCAGGAGCGCAGGTTAATTCTAGCTAATTTCTTCATAAAAGTATAATTTAATTTCTACTCTGCTCCGAGAAGCCGAGGGATTTTGAGCTAACGATAACAATACTTCTAAGATGCCCCATCTAATTTACAGCTGTTCTTTCACTCTCCACAGGAAAACCCAAACACTTCTAATATAAGTTTGTTTGGACTTTTTCATATACTAAACTCAGGAACAACTGTGGGATATATTGAGCCGATTTTGACTAATAAATATTTACAATCAGACAATTAAGATTCCTCTGCAGGACTGCAACTTTCCCACGTCAGTTTTATCTTAGACAACTTTAGTACTGCCAATAACCTTAATAAACACTGCACTAGTGAGTGCAAAGTGTCACTTATGCACTTTCATGATCCAAACCAAGTTTTTAAATGAAAATACTGGCTGATATTAACACTTTTCTCTCAAACAAAACCTTAAGTTACTGGCTCCGTTAATAACCATGCAACTCAGTGGATGAAGTGCTGGATAAAACCTGGCTTTTACTGCCTTCTCTGTCACGGAGCTGCCCGAAGGACTTCGGGCAAATCAGCCTGCCTTGCTTTGCCTCATGATGAGTGTTTTAACATCTGTAAGTGGGAAGGGCTATATAAGCCTGGTATCAGTTATAATTACTTGTTGCTATCACTTGGAATTTCCTTCAAGGTTCCCAAGCAACAAAATGGCAGCTTCTTCATGGGCACTTGAACAAGTCCTGTAAAATTTCAAAGATTTTGATATTCTAGATTACAGTCAAGCATTGCTTTGCAAATGAAAACCATTTTGACCTGCCCAGTATACACTTAAAAATCCTCAAAATGGTATATGGTATAAAAACACCATAGAGCTATAATCCACACAGCATCTCCATAACCTATGAGGAAGATAAATAACAGGTAATATAAATACACCTGTATAGCCTCCAATAAGAGTCGCTTGGCCGCTTTCGGCCCGGATCAGCCAGCCCATTTCTCAGTGGTGCGGCCTGCAGCTCCGCGTGCGTTCGCAGCACGGGGTGGCCGTGACCCGCGCACGCGGCCGTGCCGCAACGGCCCCGCGCAGCCCCGTGCTGTCAAGCAGCGTGCAGCCGCTGGACCGCTGCCACGGGAAGCAGAACAAGCTTGGCCTCGTTCCTGCGTGTGCCTTTGGGATTTACTTCTCCCAAAGACAGGCCCTGACCTTGACCGTGGCCTTTTAAATTTACGGGTTGGTTACAGGGACCTGAGGAATGAAAATACTTGCAGCTCTTTTGGGTTCACCACAGCAGATGGCTGCTGCAAAGTGTCAGCATCTGCATGTTTCTATGTAACATTTCTACACCATGTAATGGTGTTGGGGTGTAGGATTCGTACCTTACCTGGAGGCAGGATTTTAACAGGTACTGCTGCTTTCTATTCTAGTAACTCATTTTGCTCAAACCTGACCTTTTTTTTTTCCCCTCCTCTTTCAAGAGGCATTGAAGAATTAATGACTGATCCCCTTCTCTCCCAGGCCTTTACCTACTGTTTTTTGTCAGGCATACATCCAGTGTTTTAGCTGGTGAAGCAAATATTGCCTTCATTTCAGGAAACCCTGTTGAAATCAGTGAGCCTCAGAAAACCACAGAGATGCACCAAGTATGTAAGTGTGAGATAACAGCAGGTCTCTACAAGGATTTTCCCTCCTCCAGGAACAGTAATAGAAGTTTCAATCTTTAACAAGCAGGCCTCGAAGAATTCGCTTTTCCACTTCTTCTCTACATCAGGAGCCTCTCCCTATCCCTCATAAAAGGGATATGTAAGGGATATGAAAATATTTTTGCTGGCTACCAGCTTCTGTAATGCAACGGTCAACTATTTAGTTCCTAAACTAAATAGATGTTAAATGCATGGACAATTTCAAACTTTCTTCAAGGGACTAGTCTCAATGTTTATGTTGCATCTGTTACCCTACCTTCCACAAGAGCACAGCCAGCAGCAGGAAGATGAGAATTCCCACCAGCAAACTGATGGCAATGATCCATCCAACAACATACCCACGAGGCTCCAGATTGTGTAAAGCTTCAAAGACCACCTACAAAGCAATGAGAAAAAAAAAAAAAGAAAAAAATTATGATTGGAAGTTGCACTGTTTTCTCTCATACTCATCTTATTAAATGAGCTTAGTGGCCTCACCAATCATATTTCATCTATCAAACAAGTATGGAATGTGCCCTTAATTTCGTGCTTCCCATCTATTTCTTTTGCAAGGGATTTAAAGCTTTCCTTTCAAACACAATTTGAGTAGCCATACATGCAATCCAAAAGATACCATCCCCAGCTCCAAACTAACCCTTCCTTGGCTAGTTTCCCCCTCTCCCTGCAGCAGACCCTGAGGCTGTTCTGGTGCTATGGCCACCAAAGCTGCACAGAGGTTTACATGAAAAACTGTATCCCTTGGACTGGCACATATTACTGCGATATCTTGTGTGATCTGTCTTACTCATCATGTTCTCAACTTTACCAAATGCCCTGGTGCTTCGCACAGAAAACCTTAGAAATTTTGAGTTCGATTTTTTGTTTTTTTAAAAAAAGGGGAAATACCCATATTGAATGTGACTATTCTCTGTTGTGCTGTTTAAGATATGTGGCAGAGATACATGTAGTCACAAGTTCTTCTTTTAGGAATAAAGACAGGAATCCCCTGCTTGTTTTTCTTCTCTTTCTGTATAGCCTGTATGGCAGGGAAATATGTCCTATGACATGTTTTCCTCAACTATCTACTTTAAGAAGAAAAGAGAAGCAAATTACACAGACTGATTTTTCCTCTCCTATTTCAATCAAAACTAATTTCTCAGTGGAAAATTCAAAGTTTTTTCTCCTTCATAAGGGCAATTTGTTTGTTAAATTTTGCAACGTACTATCTAGCAAATGTGGTAAGGCAGCAGGGATTTTTAAAAGGTAGCACATTGTTTTGGCTGGCTTTGTTCTGGTTTGCTTGGAAGGCAAAGCAGTGAGTTTTGCTCCCTCCTTCATAAACCACTTTCACCATCTTTGCCTAAAACTTTCAAAGCCCTGTTAGTAGATAGGGACTGTTAAATCAATCTTCGACCAGGAAAAAAAAATAAAAGTGGGTGAAAAAGTAGTGGTTATAATCCTACAGAACTAGGCAACCCTAAAATACTCATTTTGAAAAGGCCCACGAATGACTGTGAAGTGCCACCATTCAAAGAGAGACAGAAAAGGCAAAGCGATACCGTACATCAGATACAAAGCTTCAGTTTACGCATTAGGGAAAACCTGTAACAAGAAGGTTAGGGAAGCACCAGAAGAGGGGTGTCCAGAGAGGTCTCTAGTTCTCCATCCCTGCAGGTTTTCAAGACACGGTTAGATGATAAAGCCATGGGCACCCTGAGCTGGTGCAGGCAACAGCCCCCGCTTTGTGCACAAGGTGGGACAGGATGACCTCCAGAGGTGCCTTCCGATGGACATGTCTCTGTAAGCCTACAAAGTTTCAGCAAACACTCACAAAAATTACAAGCTTAAATAAAAGGAAGCCAGAAGGATGGGACTACGATTTGCCAGGATGTTCCCATAAGGAACTACTCATAAATACACTTCATCTCAGCTTCATAGACCAGTGGTGATTAAGACGATAACCATTCTGGAAGAGGAACTTGAGCACCATTGATTTTACACACCCTTGTTTCTTATCACTTAGATACTAACAGGCGTTTGATGACAACGAGACGTGAACAAGAACAAATGGACAGAAAAGATGTTATCCACAGATGCTATTTTCCCATAACTAATTCCTGTATGTATTCCTGTAACAAGTATCACCATGATGCTCAAAATAGCTCTCAAGCTATTTCTTCACTCAAGAAGAGACTCATTTTAACATTCATATATTAGCACAAAGACTTTATAAGGCTTTTTGAGATATCTTCCAGAACACAAAGTCAGTTCCCCTATAGCCAAGACTAGCAAAAAGGAAATACCAGAGAGAGGAAGACCAAAGACTAAGTCTTGCGCCTTTCTTGTGTCTCCATGCCAGGCTGGAAGGATGATCTGATGTAGCAGTCCATTTCTCACAGAGGCTAGAGTATGCATCCATCTTGGGGACACAAGTCAGATGACTGCTTCTTAGAAGATAAGGCACTCATGTTATTTTTCTTTCTGACTCCAGGGGGAAAAAAAAAAAAAAGGCCTCTAACACTTTGGATATGACCAGCGGGGACTTCTTAGGCCACCACTGAATGCAAAATGAGGTGTTTTCTCTCTACTGCACGGAGAATAAATGTTCACACAGCACAACCTCTGTCACTGTAGCTCTGCACATCATACTGTCAGCAGGCAGAGCCAAGAATAGTTGCAGAGATCAGATCATTTATCATTTCTGTGGCAAAAGTCCTACATTACAGCTTTGAAACATGCTGTCTGGAATAGTTTGGCAGTACATTTCACAGGCACAGCTCAAGCTATACTAGCGTGGTGGGTACACAGTAACAGCAGCTCCTTATCAATCTGTTTTCTTCTGGCAGTTTGCAATCAACTTACAAGCATAAAAAATCCCGTTCATGGTTTTGTGGCTTGGAGAGGAGCAGGGATGTTGCATATATTAACTCTGTATGTTATCCCTCTCAAGGCTCCAGATACTGGCCACCTGAATAGGCGGTCACAGCAACAAATTTTGGTGAGGAAATAAAGAAAACAAAACCAAAAGAAAACAACCTCAAACCCAAGCAAAGCAGACCAGGCAAGCGGTCAACATGCGTCACACGTCCAAGCTGTGAGCACAAGGCCACGGCAGCAAGCGGAGGGAGGCTGGAGCGGTCCGTCCCGCGGGGCCGTGGTGCTGCTAGCAGACGTGGTCCTGCCTGTGGAACCTCTGGCCACTGCGGAGTCTGGGCAGGAGCGAATGTCAGCCCCTCGCTGCCGCCCCGGCTCCGTGGCACGGCTACGGCGGCCTCGCTGGCGTGACGGGGAGCACAAGGCGGCTTCCGGCCTAGCGCGTTTCCCACAGTTGTGAAACATAAGTTACTGATACAAAAGATAAGAGTGTGCGTGAGAGAGGGGACAGTGGAGATGACGGCAGTCTAGCTCAGAAGAAGAACGTGAAACAGTCATAAAACATGGAACAAATTCCAGGTTTCCTTCCATCCTCTGACCAAATGCCAAGGAAATGCAGTGGGAAACACAGTTGTTTCTAAGATTTAATACAAGCTTTTTATTTATATTTCACACTGTACTCCAGGCTTCTTAAAGTAGGGAATTTCAGAAGGTAATATCCATTTCAATGTATGTAACTCACATATCAATCAGGTTTCTAAACAATGGAATTTCTCTGGTGTAAAGTAACAGAGAACTGCATCTGACCATCACAGTCCAAAATATGGACCCTTATGACCAAACACATCACCTTCTACCTGTTGCAAACTTGTTATACTTCTGATCATCTAATGAACAAACTCAGAGGGATCAGAATTGCTTAGTACTTTGAAAGCATTGAAAAAGCATTTTGAAAGCATTTCAAAAAATGCTTTCAAAAAAAAAAAGCACTTTGAAAGCATTTGAAAGAACTGAACTGAGTAGGATTTTTGCAAATATCTGAAGTTTACATCATGCCTAAGTGGGACCCATCACTTAACTGGGGGTCCTGAAGTAAGCAACACAGATCAGCAAAAATTGGTTAGAAATGGGTAACCGTAAAATCTTAATTTCTGCCTCCTAAAATGTATTTCCTTTTGCTTATGCACACTAGGTGATTTTTACATACTTGTATCAGAAAAGACAGTACCATCAGGAGACGCAGGTTTACCAAAAAATGCTATTTTTGTTCTATATTATCAGAGTATTTCTGGTGCTTTAAGCTGCACTGCTTGACTTGTTGGCCGAGATTCCAAAGACCAAATCTTGTGTGTTCCTTGTATCTCTGCACCAAGTTGGAAAGACTTGTCTCCTGGTTGACTTGTCCATTCCGATGCTGTTTTATTTGAGGGGAATTCCAGTAAAGACACCATATTCACATATCGATATGTATATACATACACACATGTATTTCCATATACTAAGAAAAAGGTTGAAGGTCCTCAGAGAACAGATACTTGAGGAATCTTTGCTGCTTACTACCCCCTATCACCAGGAATTATCTGTATTTTATCAGTATTGTGTAGACTTCTGTTCCTTCACCCAGCATTACAGTCTTTCCAAAGCTAAGCTGGAGGACCTGCACTGCTCCCCTAAAAGGCACTGGGAAGAGGTATTCCCATGTGCATTAACAAAAAGTCTGGGCAGTCCCACATGGAGATAGGGGAGAGGACAGCGAGGTAATACAGACTTTTCTTTCCAACTCGGACACAGAAAACAGGTCAGTGCCCAAAGTCTTCTGAGCTGCAGGCAGACAGTGAAAGCTTAGGTAAGTAGATATGCATACAATCCTTCTGTTATAAAGACCTCCCAGAACACAATAAATTAAATTTTAAAGCTTTCCTTTCTTTTATTTCTTTTCACCCTGTATATCACTGTGAAAATAAATATAACTAAACCCCATACAAAAATTCATGTCCAGCAACCACTTGCCTTTGTTAAATTAATCCTGGGATAACTGGTCTGAAAATGAGAGCACAGTGAGGTCTACCCAGAATGACAGAAAGCTTCAAAGGCTTGACGAAGGTATGCATGTGCTGAGCTTAAAAATGGGCAGCTGTAAGCTAGCCAGGAACCTCCAGCTTTCCAGGACACCTTGTCACAGGAGCTGCAGCACATTAGCTTGGGTTCTCCCTTCCTCTGCTCACCTTCATGTGCTCTGACTCAGAGAGACTCAGAGCATTTGGCAGCTTTGAACACAATGAAATTCAGTCTCTTCTCCCTGCCCCATTAGAATTAACAGAGGGAAATCCTCTTGCACTGTAAGAGCACTCCTTCTCCTCTACGTAAGCACAGAGCAGATGTTGACTCTTTTATCTCATATGTGGTCACTGTGGTCTCTCAGAGCTCACCATTGGTCTTGCCTCATTTTTACAAAAGATGGACAATCTTTTGGAGAATATGAACAAATCTTCATGGAAACACAAAGACTCAAGAAAATAAGGTGTGTTTTTTGGAAATACCATACCAGGAGAGTTTAAGTAGACTATAAAAACTATAGAGAAAGAATATAATACTCATCCAAATCCAGAGGAGTGATTTCTGGTAAACTGTAAAAACAACAAATACTTCAAGCCTGCCTTCATTTTAAAACTTTTTCAAAGACAGCCTGGTACCCAACTTACAGATCTTTACATAATCTACTGCATCCCCTTTGGAGATGGTCCATTATGGTATATCACAACTGATATTTAAATGTTGTGCTCAGTACACTGCATGAAAAACATCAGTCTTCCTTTTCTTTTTGTCTTGTTTATAGTTTTTACCCTGTGCAATAAAGTGTAAAAATACGCAGTGAAATAAGGGCAGCTAGTTCTAAAGAAGAATTCAAATGGTTTTAATAAGCCTGTATCTCAGTTGTAGATAGCCAAACGGCCTTTTTAAAATTACCCATGATAAAGTGTCTACAAAAACGTCTTTCAGTGTCCGGGAACACCTTCATGAGCCCATGCACAATTGCTTGGAAAGAGTTGCTGCCCAAACAGACATGGTGCAGCAATCAGTGGTCAATGAAAGGAAAACAGAACAGGATTTTAGAAAGGAAGGGAGGAATATGAAGCAAGATACTTCCTCTCTCCTGTTTCTAGTTCCAGCTGAATAACTGTGGCTTGCAACAAGTATTGTTTCCTTCTGCATTCCGCAAGACGAGGGAGAAAAAGAGAGGGGAAAAGAATGAATGCCTTGAGCCAAACCACATGTCTTAAATTTTTCCCTGAACATGACCCTATATAAAACATACAGCAAGGGAGAAGCCAACTGACATATGGAAATAGTATACAGAAAAGAGCAAAGACCTTCAGGTCTTAGAAAAGACCTGAAATTACAAATTGATGTTACTCGACTACAATATGTCAAGCACGCTTCCCTACAGCTAAGGTTTCCCAGGAAGCAGGAGCAAGTTCTTGTTTGAACTTAGACAGCTTCCCAGTACACACAGTGAACTTGTAATTGTGGTAACTCGAGGCTTGATGAAAAGCTGTCCAAGAGCAGGAAAATAACAATGTTTTTTGGGAGGGGATTTTCTTCCTTTTTGTTTGTTTGGTTTTTTTCTCTGAGCATTAGAAAACAATGAATTATAGCAGAGCTAAAAGTATTTCTGAATTTTGAGCATTAATAGTAATCCCACACGCATAACACTGTGTCCACCACTCTGAAAAAATCTAAAACCCAAACCTTTCACAGAAGGTAACAGTGATGTCCTGGCTTCTCCTATTTCAGATGTGGCATAGGTATCACATTCGGGCATTACTCCTGTTATTAGTGAAACTTAGCCATTAAATGGCTGCAGAACTAAACAGAGATCTAGCAGTGTCTTAACAGTCAAGGTTGCAGGTCATTTATAAGACACATTCCCAGGGAAGACTAGCTATGTGAATAACTGACTTGCTCAGTTCAGCTGCCAAGTCTATTTTTTTAATGTTCTTTGGAATGGTCCAGAAACCTGACAAAGAAAATAAAACAGAGAGGAAAAAAATGGGGTCCTATCATACAAAAGATTTTTTTTTCAGACTGTTCTAATAAAATGGAAAGTTAAAAAAAGAAATAGGAACGAGTCTCGAGTTACAGACATGGTGGTGATGAAGGTGATCACTGTAGCAATTAGACTTAAGGTAGTACATAGGTGGAGGTTGAATTCCTTCTTTGACTGTATGGATTTAACTCCGTTATCCCCCAGGTTAGTGCTTTAGTGGAGGATATCAGCCTTTACCAAAGGTGCCTTGACCTCTATAGCTCTCCTACCCAAACCTCACAGCTGTGTCTGAGATGGAGCCAGGGAGAGAAGTTTCATGGCTGGCAGTCAGGTCAATTATTCGGGGCAAGGGGATTAAGTGAGAGGTGGGATATAGATCATGTTCCAAAAATATAGCAGGAGAAGAAACTGAAAGCAGTCCAGATAAACTTTGATCCTCATGTAAGTGTGAAGTAGGAAAGGAAGCTTAAAATTTATTCCACCAGCCAAAAAGAAAGTTCAGCTTGGGTATGGCTCTTCATGCGCTTTTCATGCCACAAGTGTTCAGACACTTGGTAGTAGCAAGCCTCCTATTTTTGGAATACAAAAGGCCAATACCTCCTTCTTCTCCAGAAGTTTGTAAATATGGCCCTGTTCAAGCCACAACTGACTCGGGAATTAACCCTGAATTTTCACTACATCCACTTGACTTTTCAACCTAGGCTCATGTGGATCAACACAAGACACAGTATTAGGTCATACATGAATTCCAGCAGCTAGGCACAAAGGAATTTATATGGATCTCTGAACAGTTAGACCCCTATACCCAATTTCGCAGCTCCCAGAATATCATTCATTACCACTTTAAATATTTCATACTGGAACATCAAAAATTACTGTGCTGAGGATTCAAGTCTCTACCATGTTTTGAAGGAAAATCTGAAATAGATTAAAGCGGACATTAACCTCAGGGCTTGGAGCTAAACCTAATGTTGGCACAGTTATGCCACAGACAATTACAATTTTGGCTAGCACAAGGCAGACTCTCCTACTCCCCGTAACATCATTCACCACGATGGCATGGTTATCGCAGCAAACAACCCCACAGCAGCATGGCTAGTCTGATCTGAGGAAGCCTGAGCGCTCTCATGTGCCCATTTAACCCCTAAACCCACAAATTCCAGCTTGCCGAGCCCCCTCAGTGATCTCCATCCCACTGGGAACATGACACCTCCAGGCTCCAGGCTCATTCACTTACTGCTTTTTCCTCTGGGCTCCCATTGGGCACCTCCACAATCCTCAGGGCTGGGTCCACCTGCACCTTTGCCCTTGTGACGAACTGGATGACCGATGAACTGTCCTGACAAGGAAAAACGGGAAGGATTGGATTTGGGGTGAAGAGGAAGCATCCCCACACCTCCTCCAAAAGGAAAAAATAAAAAAAGAAGGAAAAGGGAAAAAAAAAAAAAGAAAAAAAAGAGGAAGCCCCTACATTTGTCAGTACAGTAAATATATCTAGATAATGCTTAATGGCACGTTGGGTTGGGATTTAGAACAGGCTAAAACCCTGCTTTGAAAAAAGGACCTTAACATCATAACATAGAGAAAGCTCAGCACTTTACCTTAGATTAAAACAAACATCACAAAATCAGGTATGTTGGATTTTAAACTCATAATTTGGATTTGGCCTGCTTTTCATGCTCCCCACATTTACCACACAAGCAGAAGAAAGACAGAATATTTCCAGTCAGCCCTGGCAAGTTCAAAATCAACCATCAAACATGAATTCCTACAAGTTTTTTAAATGAGGAGAGAAAGATACAGGAAAGCTGGGATAGACCCAAGTACAGCCTGAGATAACAACTACATAATTATTTGAATACATGCACTGCAAATAGCTTAAATATTCATTTTATATATCCCCATACTAAAATATTTTTCTGCTATAATTTATGCAGTGCTTTTTAATATACACGTTCCAACAAGCTTCTATTTTAATGCATGGTAGTTCTTCCTGAGCTGCTTACTGTGGGGACGGTGGGTGATGAGTAGGGTAGGCTTGCGTTGAGGACACCCCTCCAAACACACAGGTAAGTGATGTATATCTTTTAAAGATCTGCTTAGAGTCATCTTAGAAAGGACACCTCAAATGGGATGGATTCTCGCTACTCCCAGGATTGAATTTCCAAAATGCTTATATAGGTGCAGTCAGTTACTTGCTTACATACTTCTGCATTTCTGTGTGCATGTAGCATAAACACCTGAAACTTTAGTCCTTGCCTATTTCTCCTATTACCAAACATTAACACATTAGTGGGTTTCAGCTGGAAAAGTTCAGAGCTATCAACTGCCTTAGCAGCAGGTCTCTAATAAAAGCCCTCTTCAATGTTTTTAATCCATTGGCTATCAAAGACAGGTTTTTACTTATTGTTATTAACTGTTCATGTTAACAGCCTTTTTTCTCGCTGACTATCTTACAATCTTAGAGAATCTAGCCCTAAGTCCACAGTCAGCATTTCTTTAAGCATAGGAAAACAGAACAATATTTATTAGATTTTCTATTTCATTCAGGGGTTTTAGGAAAGATGAGAACTAACATGTAACCATTTGTTTCTTGTCACAAGTGTGAAGCCCAGTGTTATTATGGCTTCATTGAATAATAATCAAAAAAAACAACAACAACAAAACACATATCTCTGTTTACGCAGAGGGAATGACAGGTATTTGGTCACAGTTTATGTACACTTACTCCATTTCTCACTTAACTTTTAGAAAGCTCTAATCTTAACGCTATGCATACACTGAGGGGTTTTATTGTTTCTCAGTGTATTGATATTTATTTCTGTCTTAATATAATTGATCAGAAACAGGATTAACACCTCCCTTTACACTGCTACAAACTAATCTGTTTTCTTTGACAACACACCTTTTTTTGTAACACACTAGTAAACAGCGGAAGGAGTTCAAGGCTCAAGCACATAGATGCTGTTGCACATATGCATGCTTAAATTGGTATTAAAGGCAATCTGCAAAGGAAGCACATACCTTCTTCAGTATCTCAGTATTCAGGAGGGTGTAAATACTTATATCACAGGACTCTGCTTTTGCTAGGGAGCTTAAAATGCAGCGCATAATTAAGCAGGACCTGCCTGGTCTTTCACAGTCCTACAGGCAACGGGAAAAAAACGGTATTAGGCACGTCAGGAAAGGAGGAATTAATTCCTTGAAAATACTCTGTGACAGCAAATGCTCCAACGGACCAAAAAATGCTAAAATAATAAATAACAAATAATAATAAAAATAAAAAATAACAAAACATAAACTGCTAAAAACTATGTGTATAGGAAACAGCAGCAACTTGCTGAAGAGATCCAGGACCCAAATGTCGGGCAGGGCAGTGCAATGCGGCCAGGCAAGGAGGTCACCCTCTGTGCTGAGCCCCAGCATGAGCCTGGCCACCCCATGGGCTCCTGACGGATACACGGACAGAGGATTTTGCGTTCCCACTTTGAACAATTTCCTCCCCACTGGATTTCCGGAGGCTTCCTCTAGGTAAAAATCAGATACTGAAAAGCACTAAATGTGCCCCCCAGGCATCACACCAGTACTAGTTGCCCCAAACTCTGTAAGGAACTATCTGCATGAGTTCTTTGGGATGATCCATGCAAAATGTTCTGTAAAATACAACATGTGCTGAAGTTTGTCACAGGTGGGCTTTCTTACCAATACTTTTCTGCCGGACTTTGTGAAAAAAGCAAATATTGTGTGGAAAATATTTTCATTCTCTTGAGGAATGACGCATGGGCTGGGGTTTTTGTAGAATGAACAGTTTCCTTTGTCCTGACCAACCTGCAAGTACAATAAAAACAACAATTAATACTCAGAATTAAAACTGCATGACAAGAAAGGCTGGGATTAACTTAGCCAAGTAAAACACCTATATCTGAGCTGAATGTCTGGACTCCCACTAGGAGTCAACAGAAAATCTATTCGTCCTAATGTACACATTTAAAATAAGTCAGATAAACTATACTCAAGAAAAGTTTCTCTCTCTCTTGTTTGGATAGGATACAAACATCTATAAGGTAGCTCAGAGGCAGATGCCTGTGATCTAGATGTTTGAAGACACAGGAGAGAAGTCTCAGCCAAAGACGCAAAACATCATGTAACATTGCAGATCCACTGCTTTTTTCTTCTTCTTTTTATTTTGTAATATGATTGTATTATTTGGTGCTTTAGCCAACTTGATTGTTTTGCAGTTTGCATTGAAACAAAAGAAGTAACAAAATCTTTGTGAAACGCACCAACCTAGACACAAAGTCTTCTTTCCTTCCTTCCTCACAAATAACACTAAAATTAAA